GACCTTTTCTGTAAGTTTAATTTTTTTGATTGTTGAATATCTTTTCTAACATTATTCACAGCATATTGTAGTAAGTAGGCCATACTTTTACCTAGAACATCTAGTAGCATTTTTGGATATAGAAATTGTGGTGCTGCATCTACTGACTTTCCAGTTATTTACTGAAAAAGTGAACTTTTATTCCTTTTATTAATTTATCTGTATAACTTAAATGCATTGTCATGCTCTTCAAATCTTTTTCTTAGTCTGCAAGGATACCTAGTTTTAATTCTTCAGGCCTGTTTTAATTAGCCCTAACCACATACACCTTCTTTATGACTCTTCCTGGCTAGGTTATTCCATTCAGAACAAGTTAGGCTTTTATGCTGAAATTTTATGTCAAATCTCCTTTCATAAGGATTTATTATTAATTGGAGCTTACAAATTATGTTTGTAATATTCACCTTTCCACAGAACAGCTGGGCAAAGCTGGATATCAACTGCCATGCCCTAGTGACATCATTGACCATTACTGTCCTAGTCAAAATTATTTATGCCTATTTAATATTGGAATTGTGATGTTGGTTTTGCTGATCAACTTTTCTAAGACCTTTGAAAAAGCTCTTGCAGTACTACCACTCTTCACAGACAAACCCATTGCTTTTTAAAGAAGTGTACTGAACTTTGCATTTAGCTTCATGCTCCTCTGTGAGACACATGGAGGTCCCAGTTTTCATTAACTTAGTTATTATCTGGCACAGAATTTATATTATATTCTTTTCAATGTTTCTTTGTTTCCTCTGCTTCTTTCGGTCTAAAACAATTATACTTTAAAAGGAACTATATTTTGAATGTCTCTCTTTTTGGGAGTCTCTTCATACCTTGTGAATTTATAGAGACTCTTGAGAAGTGTGCTAGTGTCAGACCCTTAACCTCCACCTTTTGAAAAAAGTCACATTACCACCATTATTTGATTTTTGGCTTCAGTTCTTGTACTTCTCACTGCAGCATTTCCAATGATACCAGAAAAGCTTAAACTGCTAGTAAAAACTGTATATCTTTGCAAAAGATGCAGAATATGTAGTACTGTCAAATTATCTGACAAATTTTGTATTCAGTAAAAAACTGTGGCTCCATCTAGGCTCTTAACTCTTTCATCCTGAAAGAAAGAGAATGTCTTCACGGTTGAACAGACAGGCAGATTTCAGGTCGCTCTTCTCCTTTCTCCTCTGACTTTTACAAAGAGAAAGCTAACACTGTTCTTCAAATAAAAAGAAGCCTGGATTGTTTCATACATTACTGTTTGCAAAGGCTGCCAAAGACAACAATCTCTACAAAGAACTACACATGCCCAGTCACTCTGGTTTGTATGCTGTCCAAGAAAAGCAGAAACAGAGTCATCTTTAAAAGCCATTTTTAGAATGATGTGGGTAAGCTAGGAGAGCAAGGAACTCTGTAAGGAGGGTAGAGCTGGGCCTATAATCATGTAATGTTTATTTTATAGCACATAGCAGTTTATAAACTTACCACATCCTTGGGTGGAGCCTCTACTTTCTTCTTCACTTTTTTACTCATTCTAAAAACAAACAAACAAAAAAATAAAAGCAGACAAACAAACTCCCTTCTGTGTTTTAGGAATCACTTTCCCAGTGATTTAGGAATGCTGTCAAGACAGACTTTCTCATTCATTTGACCCACCTAATCAGTCTGAACATTTCTTTGACATAGCAATTTCTATACAGAAAGTTGTCCCTTTTTCTGACACCTGAACACATTTGGTAAAATATATCTGTCAACAAAATGTATAGCTAAAAAGAAAGATCTGAGACATCACAGACTCAAGTTGTAACGTGGTACAAACACACAGAACACCCTTTTCTCTAAGTTAATTTTATCTGCATCTATAAATCATATATGAGCATGCAAGTCCTTTTAGGGTATTTCCCCATGTTTGTTTATACATTCTGTGTTGGCAAACATTCTATGCAACTGCAGATTGTACAAATAAGTTCTACCTTGAAAACCTGGTTCAAATTCAATTTGAATTCTCTGTTCATACTTCACAGAAGACAAAAATAAGGTCTGTGGGTATTAAGAAACAGTTCTGCACAGCACAAACTTCACTGATTTTAAAAAGTTACATCTATTTACACCAAGTTCAGTTTCTGTCTCTTGGCTTTTTTGGGGTTGTTTTTTTTATTAGCACATGAGCACATGAACCAGGAAGACCTTCTCAGCTGCATTTAATAGTGGCTTCTGAAGCATCTGGATGTAATAGCTCATGTGGACCTAATTTCATGTGGCTTGCAAACCTTCAGCAGAGCCTTCCAGTTAAGGTACAGGCAAAAGTAAAGGGCAACATGAGCCACTAGCACTAGCTGTGCATAGAACATAACACAAGTGATGCCAAGCTTAAGTTTGTTTTAACACTGTGTAAAAGTGAAATGTGCACTGTTAGTATCCCTTATTAACTCCTTGGTTAGTTCTCAAAGGGAAACCACACATTCACCCTCAGCCAGGACTGTCCTGACAGCCTCCCCGTGGTGTAAGAGATTATTTTCTAGGGCATTAGGAGCTGTAGCTGGTTACAAAAGTCAAGGCTATTGTTTGCTGTGTTCAACAAAAATTTGGAGCTCTTCTTGAACCTTCTGAATTTTTTCCAGGTATTGTTCCGCTACTGGCATCGACAAATAAACCGTAACAAGCAGTAGTGAAACCAGTTGATGAGCACATCCTAAAATCAGATCTGAAATTTAAAACCTCATAGGCAGGTCATTAACTACAGTTTTGAGAGAAAGACCCACACAATGAAACATTCTTCAGCTCCATTATGCTTTACCCTTGTGCCTGTGTACACACACACATATGAACACACACACAAATTCAGTGTTTCAGAAAGTGCAGCTCTGGCTAGAGACAGATTAATTTATACAAGCAAAAGGACAGATTACTGACAGTATATTCAACAGACATGATGGACACAATACCTTCTGATTTATGCAGTCACTGCAGAAAGCAGAATCATGCACACCTACAAGAATCAGATTTACAGGGTGTTCAGGAAATTTGGAGTTTTTGAATTGTGTTAAATCCTGATATGGAGATATGGCCACTTATTTAGAATTACTCAGGACAGCTCCATAAATTTCAGATATAAATTAAGCTAAAGTCATAAAAGGCAGTTTTCATTCTGAATGAGTGTAATTAGGTTTAAACCAAATAATTTTAAAAGTTAATTCATGAAAAAGCATTATCATGTTGTATAATTAATGTTCTCAGATTCAAATCTAGGACACTAGACACTAGGACATTGAGGTGCTGGAACATGTTCAGAGAAGGGCAACGAAAATGGTGAAGGGTCTGGAGCACAAGTCTGATGAGGAGTAGCTGAGGGAGCTGGGGATGTTTAGCCTGCAGAAAAGAAGGCTCATGGGAAACCTTACTGGTCTCAACAACTAGCTGAAAGGAGGTTGCAGACAGGTGGGGCCAGTCTCTTCTTCCAGGTAACAAGCATTAAGACAAGAGGAAATGACCTCAAGCTCTGCCAGGGTTGGTTTAAATTGGATATTAGGAAAAAAATCTGCGCCAAAAGGGTTGTCAAGCCTCTGAACATGCTGCCCAGGGAAGTGCTTGAGTCACCAACCCCAGAGGTATTTAAAAGACATGTAGATGTGCTGTTTAAGGGCATAGTTTAGTAGTGGGTTAACAGTTGAACTCAATCTTAAAGATATTTTCCAACCAAAATTATTCTATGTTTCTAAATCTTAAACTAAATAATATTGTCATTTGAGTAATATCCCCTACTTCTAGAATCACAGGAGCATATTTTCCCATATGGTTCTTGAGATTAAAGGGTTAATTGTCTGAAATCATGTAGAGCTAGAGGTAATAAAGGGCTCTGACCTAACAGATGTAACCAATGCACAGTCAAGCAATATATGAAGTTATCATCCTATGCTACTTCCTGTCCTTCACCTGGAATTTATTGCTGTCAGTGGCAAACAAACCAGCCTGCTTTGCTTTCCTCTGACCCAGTTTCAGTGCAGTGGTCAAACCAGGTGCTGTCTCTCAAGCAGCAGGACAGTCATTACATCTAACTAAATCCTCATTCCAGAACCACAATCCCCAGAACTCCCCCTTACCTTTGGCTATTCTTAGTACCTAAGCTCAGCAGGCATTTCCCTGCTTCACTCTGAACTTCATTAGGACTCCAGCTTTCCCACAGGACCAGAACTAACTCAGTGTGAGGATCTGAAGTTGAACCAATATCTGGAAACTATGAGTAGTGTCCACTAAACTAAATTAGGTGTCGGTACTAAAGTTAGTCACTCTCCTCGATAATTGACAGAGATCTAGTCAACGTATTCAATAGCTCTTAAGGAAGATTAATCCTAAAGTAGGTATCTACAATGGAATTGCACCTTAAAAATACCTACTTTTTCCTTGGACTAAAACCAGAGTTGCTAGCTCATGAATTGACATTTACACTGACATCTAAACTTTGTGAGCTAAGCTTATTAACCTTTTCTCCACATGAATCCACATGCCAGGCAAGGTCTGGCAGATACCATCACAGCAGACTGAACATCAGCAGAACCAGGCATATGACAAAACAGCCACCTTGTCTTTTTACAGGTGGCTGAAGGAACAGGCCTGTCTCCAGTAACATCTCTATGACCAGAACATTTTGCCTGTAAGCACGAATGATTTTGAGGAAGGTCACAGATGTGGATTTTTGAGTTCAGAAATGGAACCCTCTAACCTCTTGACTTTTATATCAGGAACTGGCATCTCTGCCACATCAAATAAATTAAGGAAAATTTGGTTTTGAAAGAGTTGCTGCAGATGTCTGCTCAGAGGAGCAGATTCCAAGTACTAGATCATAAGATAATGATGGCCATGACCCTTATACTTGCTTCATTTTATTGTCTTGCTCTAGACACTGCTCTGCTCAGTGGGAATAGTTGCTTAGATTGCAAATCTGAGATATCCACTTATTTCTGGGCATTACACCTTTCTGTTTTAAACACGAGACAGTGGTCAGCAAGCAAGCTTTAACAAAAACAGAATCTATAAATCATATTTTGAAATATGAGCAAAGTCACCTGGTGGTTTTTCTGTTTGAAATAATGAAATCTTACAAATACTTCCTTTAGAGTATGGAGTATATACCTGTGCCATCGGAGTCCTGTTGCATACACTTCAAGACCATAATATTTCATCTTTTTAAGTAAGACAAAACATTACCTGTTCCATTTGCATCTTCTGTTCTCTAAAACCTTAAATAACAGACACAACCCCCTAGGGCCCTGCACATCCTGTGAGACCTGAGCCAAAGGACAGGAATAAGTCAAAGGCACAGCCTGCTGTGGAACTTACCTCTTAGTCAAGGAATCAAAGATCTCTTCTGAGAGCAATTACCCCTGTGGAAAAGCAGTGCAAAGAGAATGATTTAAGAATGGCTTCTAACCAGTCATTTACTACATGACACACTTTGCAAATTAACTGTCCCGTGTTTTAAGACAGAAAGTGATGCACAGGTGAGATTTTTTTTGCCTTCCAAGTGATAATTACATAATCTCAATTTAGCTGAGCTAGTTTAAGTGATGTCTGGCTGTTTATTTTTGTCTCACAGAAACTAATATTTTTTCTTCTGATAACAGTGAAAATTGCCCATAACTTGGTCACTGCCATTAATTATTTCAACTGATTTCTGTATGGACACTGTAGTTCTGCTGCCTTCCAATGCAATCAAAAGAAAGACAATTATATCATCAGCAGACAACCTCACTCTTTCTCGAGTCCATAAACTAGTATGTCCCTTGTTTGCCAGCTTAATATCCTCATCATCATTCCCTGATGGCTTTGTCTGAATTAAGATAAATTCCTTTCTTTCTCCCAAATTCTTCTTCCATCTTTTTTCTGTCCAACTCCTTAAATATGGATCAATAGACTCCCCTTGCCCTGTGTTGTAACAACTGTGCAAGCACTAATACACTATTAAAATACTTGGCTTCACAGAAGAAGAGAGTTAAAACGAGACAGCAGGTCCAATTTAATATTCAGTTCCTCAAGATAGATATATATATATATATATGTCATATGAAAATAATACATTACATGAGAGACCAATTAAGTCAAGACACTGTATCTAAAAAACACTAGATACTTTGTTCCCACCTCCCTCATTAAAAAGCTGTTCCACAAACCAATTGCTCAGACACTGAGGGACCTTTTTTTAATTTTTAGTCTACAGTGTACTGTATTTGTGTCATGTCTGAACATTGGCCAATTGCTTTCTTTGCTGGCATGTATGAAAATATATTATTGATACTAAGTATTTATACCAT